TCCAACCCCCTGATTAAAGCAGGACCAGAGCAAGGCCTTGAACAAAATTGAAAATTCCACAACTCCTCTTCTTTGCAAAAAAGCTTATTTGTGCACGAGTTACAAGTAGTGTTTGCACGTTAGTGTTCTGTGTCAGAAATTGCAAATAGAAGTTATTTTCTACAGAAACATTGTGTTGGGAAATTCAAAAATATGTATATAATCTATGTTAACTAATAGTACTGTCAACCTATGAAACCTATGCTTTTGTTTTTGGTTGTTGATAAAACATAAAAATGGGTTCTAGGAAGAAAAGTCACTGACTTTATTGCTATGCTTTGAGGACTGGGATTCTCTTCCCAGTTAACGCAGATGCTAGAGTGTGCACCTGGAAAACAAAAAAAACTTCTTCATTCATTAACAAAAATTCCGTCCTTATGCTGTTTTCAGTTTTGGATACTTAGAGTTTTACTTTCATTATTATTTCGTAAGTGAGAAACAAAGATAGACAATAATATTCACTTGCTTTGCTTCTTTGACGTTTCTTTTTTAATTCTAAGATGCTTATGTTTACCTGAAGAATCCACCACCAGAATTTCTTCCCAGAGCCGGCATAATTACAATATCAGGCCTAGCTGGTGCAGTGCTGGCAAGAAAAGGTAGGGCTTCTATGCTGATTTCCATCACTGGTGTATTGTGCATGTTGAATGTAGTAGTTTTAATGGTCCAAAGACTTTTCTGAAATAGAGAAAATAAACAACTAGCAGTCAAAGAAAATCCTTCCTGATAAATCAAGAGGGCGTTATTAAATACTTACTTTAGATGTTGGCTAAAGTAATAATGGAGAATGAAGTAGCCCTTAAGATTTGTCTAACAGATACAGGGGAATGGACATCAGAAGGTGTGATTTGGGCAACTCTAGAGTCAAAAGGATAATTGTAGAGATATGGTCTTCTTTCTTTTCAAGATAAACATTAAAAGTATCATCCTTAACCTGTTAGAAAGCACTGTTCAGAAGATGTTTATCTGTAATACCCGAGTGCACCTGTTATCTAAATATTTTGTAAACCAAATGGATTCATCAAAATTCTGATATTGGTAGATTTCTTACTGTATCCCTGTTACTTACCGACATTTAAAAACTTTTTTTATTATTATTATTAGAAATAAATTGGGCTTGAGAATCTGTTAGCTTCTTGTCAGCAAAGGGGAACTTCAGTCTGGCTCAGCCATTCTCTCTTGAGGAAAGAGGCCCCTGGCTGCTTCACATTCTGCACTCTGTCTTTGAGAGCATGCATGCAGCTTCTGAAAAGCCCCAGCAGCTCCTAACTGAATTCTTCTCTTTTTTTACAATATTGGCAAATCTGCTTTGGGATTCTTTCTTGTGTGGGAAACTCAGCTTGGACGATATCAGTATCTCTTGCTAACCTGACCATTTACTGAACTGTTGTAAAGTTCTGTATTCTCTCTTCAGCATGGTGGGTATAAACTGGATGCAAACAATTGTTAGAGGTTAAATGATTGTGTTTAATTAATACAACCACTTAGACACTAATGTAACATAAAGCTAATTATATGAAATGTTTTGCTTTGTACAGATTCTAGATTTAAGAAAATTGCTTATCCCTTGGGACTTACTACTTTAGGAATTTCAGTTTGTTACCCAGCTCAGGCAGTAGTAATTGCTAAGGTAAGTTTGTGTTTTAATATTGAATTAACACTGAATTTAGTCACAGCAGTCCAGTTTCATTTGATTTAAATGTGGTGGGACTGGGAGTTAGAATTCAAATGCATCTTCATTAAAACACAGTGTATCACAGCTGTTAATTGCATAACTATCAGAAGTGACTGAATTAAAAAAATGCAGTTGGATAGCTTCTCAATTTTAGTCTTCGTTTCTCAAATGAATGAACATGTTTTTGTCTCACTGAAATAAAATCAAATAAAAAATAAATACAAAGTGGCTGAATTTGGCAGATATGCAATTTGAGATATGACTGCACCTTTTATAAGATTCCTTGCTTTCAAATTACTGTCATCTTGCAGTTGCCTACCTGATTAATGTCTTCATTGCTTACATAGAAAAGCAGCACCATACTTCATATTTTGCATGCAAGAATTGTTTGCTTACAGTACTTTTCTGTACAAAGACTGAATTGAGAACATCAGCACATCTCTTCCTTCTCTATCACTCCCATAGAATTCTTCTTGGTTCCTTGACAGTCTTTGTGTTTGTAGTTTAAAAACTGTGCTTCTATACGAAATGAATGAGGTAGGAAAATGTTCTGGTAGTTGCATTTTGCTCTTGTAATTAATCTGAATCTCTGATTTTTTTCCATTGTGATGAATCAATTGTTATATCTACTTATTTTAATGAGGTGTTTGCTCTTATACGCTTCTGGAGTATTTAGGAAGACACAGTAAAGACTTAATTCTGTAGTTAAAATCAGCCTTTTATGACTAAGCTGAGCAGAAGTATTTGTTTTCATATATACAGGTTGTTGAGGGTTGCAGTTCCTCAGGAGGCTGTGGGGAATTTCCTTGGCTCATTAGAGTGGGACTTAAATGTCAGGGTTGGAATAAACAGAAATGAATAGAAATTCTGCAGTGGAGTCTAAATCCTTGTTTCCTGTTTACTTGTGTCAACTTCTGCAGCTTTTCTGTAGTTGCAGCTATGAAATATTCTGTGTCTACAGAGCACTTCTAAAGTTTCTCCATGGTTACTGCAGCGTTATAAAATTACTTTTCTAAAATTTGAAAGACTGAAGGATTCAGACCTGTAAAGCACAACTCTGCTCACTTTCATGGACTGGGTCATCTTCTGGTGTTGCTGGTTTTTTTTCTTCATTCTTTTGTATTACTGTCTTTGATCATTTGCAAAATTGTGAAGCAGGCCTGGATTCTTTCATGTTTGTTGTTCTGGTCAATTGTGCTGATGTTTACAAAACACTGTTCTTTGAGTATGTTTTGATTTTGTTTTGGATAGATGGGTGTGGATAGCATATGAAAGCTACCTGTGGATTTGTAAACATTATTTAGGACCTGCTTGGTGAAAATAAATATTTGTTAGATTTCGAGAAGCAGATGGTTAAAACATGTCCTATTCTGCATGGTGTTGAGCATGCTCTCATAAATTGTGTTGCATTTGAATGGTCAGTATCTGTTGTTGTTTTTTTAAAGCTTTTTAAAAATGGCGTTTATTTTTTTAATAGGTAACAGGGAAAAAGGTAATTTCTGCAAGCTATCAAGCCTATGAGGCTGCACGATCTCTATGGGCAAAGAAGGAAGATCCCTCCAAGGTAGGCTTTCTGAAGTAATGACTGCAGCTTGTAAATTCGGAGGATGAAGAGAGTGAATGAGAACGTCAAGTACCATCCTGCTGATACTGTTTAAGATTACTGTTTTAAGGGAAGTACAAAAACTCTCTGATATTTTTGTAATTTAAATGTCTAATTAATGTATTATTTATTGCACCTTTCAGAGCAGTAGAAATTCAGATCCTCTGTGTGCTCCCACAGTGTGTAAGATGCAAGAGAAGACTGAGCTTCTCTTGAAGCTCATTTTTGAGCTTAACAAAAAAGAATCACTGTAGGTGTGACTAACATGTGTTTAGTTATACATATAAACCCTTCCCTTCCTTCATATATTTATATGAATTCCATAACCATTTCAGGTAGTCTGTTTACATAACTCTGTGATTTAAATAGCGTTTATCTCAGATTAAGCTGATTTTTTTTCCAAGTTCCTGTCCTTGGTCAACCATAGTGGGGAAAAAAAGATCATTAACTTCCTTATATTGACCTTTTATGTCATTAAGCTGACAGAGATACAAGAATTGATGTGGTAAAGACAGTTCTTGTTAGCTTAATTTTTTTCCACTTAGTGAAGTCTGTAACCAAAGCAACATATTACATATTCCTTTCCATTACTAGAGAGACATCATGATTTATCTTTCTCTCTTCTGTTAGCTAAGAATACAGTAGAATCGTTAAGGTTGGAAAAGACATCTAAGATCATCTAGTCTAACAGTAGTAAGTAGTCTAGTATTAAGTGTTTTGTAAGATCTACATATTGCTTTCTATCTTTTTTGTCTTTGTAAAGGCTGTAGAGGGCAATGACTTCTTTGTGAAGAAGTTGGAGTGTCTCAGGTTAAAACAGAGCATCAGATTTGAATATACCCATGAAAAAATGATCTTGCTTAAATGTGAACTGCGAGTTAGAGTATCACAGCTGTGAGGCTTTTTATTGGAGTTATCTTTTTTTATAGGTGCACCCAGTGCATGCAGTCAACTGGCGTTACCTACTGAATGTCGTTGCATGATGTCATTGCATTGTGTCATACCTGAGAGTAATTTTATAAAATACAAGCTTTGAGATAATCTTAGTTTGTGTTAATTTTTGTTCACAGATGCAGCAAGAATCAAAATCGGTTTCAAAAGAAGATAAGAAAAATAAAGAAATATCTAATATACAGTTTGAATCAGCTACTGAATCACAATCGCCTAACAGAACAGAATCTTCTCCTATAGAGTCTTGGAGTACAAAAGATCCACTGCCTTCATCAGGTGAATGAAAAATTCCAGATGTAATCTCAGGTCCAATATATGACGTTAATGTATGCTCTGAATTACTTGGATAGAATTTGTACTTATTCTTGCTTTTAAATAGAACAGACTGTCATAGCATATTATCCTGTATTCTGAATGTATTGATGGCAGTTTTGTTTAACGACTACAGGAATATTTTTTAAATTTTCTCACTGTGCACCCTGTCACAGTTTCAAAATTATTATATATCTTTGATTTTCCATCAGTAATGTTTTCTTTATCTCCATGTGGTGTGGATCATAATATTTCTCCAATAATTTTCTCTAATATTTCTTCCAGGAACAGCGAGGACAACAAAGTTTAAAGCTGACCCAAAACTTATGGACCATGGTCAATCCAGCCCAGAAGATGTGGATATGTACAGTACAAGAAGCTAAGACATCTGATTACAAATCTTTGCAAAGTATTACAGATAAGGGGGAGGGAAGAAGGGAAGGAATAAGACTTGTGATTCATACTGTGTGAGGTATAACTTAATCAGGTACTTTCTTATATTCCAAACTGTATTACTGTCTTATACGATGCTGTTCAATGAATATTTATTTCTCACTACTTACAAACAGTGAGAATTCGCTCATATTCAGTGTCATTACTGTGACACTGAGAAAATGGGATTTGTGTGTGTCGTCTTGTCTTCTCACAATGAAGTTTCTCTGTGCCAAACTTGTTACTAAATGTCATTTCACAAAAGGTATTTGAAAAGGTGAACATCTCTATATTTCAGCCCAAATGTTCGCTGATAGAAAAAGAGGAATGTCATGGATAGGGCTAGAGAGGCTTCTTTGCTTTTCACTTGAAGCTCTAGAACAAAGAGCAACTCTTACTGGTCTGAGTGCCTTTAATTGATTACTTTATCATATGTATAGCGTTATCTCTAATGCTTACATAAACAAATCATTTTTCATTGCAGTCATTTGTTGTTGTTTGCCTCTTTCACAAATGTGAATGGAAACTGAACTTCTTGTGCATTCTTGTTTTGTATTTAAATGTCACTTATGTTAGGAAACAACTGATCTTTAAAATATCCATGATAGACTATGCATTAGTTTTTACATACTTCTGGTAACTTGAACTTTATGCAAATTGCTGAATTCATGAAGCTGATACTGTTTGATTTATTTAGAGTGAATAAGCAATGTTTAGGAAAAAGCTTGAAGGTTTAAAGTAAGAAATGCATAGATGGTTGAAAGTGCTGCTAAATATCTAAAAATGCCAAAGTAATAAACAGAACAAAAAGTGGGAATACTGCCATGCAAACAGATAGTTTGATTTGATGTCTTACAGCTGAAAAGAAACACTATTTCACATGAATGTATTTTCAGCAGTGGGATATGAAGGGATATTTGCCCCCGTTCTACTTAAGAATAGATTTCACTACCTGATTTCTTCTTATGAGGCTCCCACTTCAAAGTCAGATGACCTTAGCACAGGCAGGCAGTATTCCTGGCGTCACTGTAGTGCTGACAGAACTAGTAAGGAGATAATGCACAGTGGTGCATGCTCAAAGCATAAATGCTGAATGAACAAATGCACCAAGTAAGGCTTTTGTGTTGGTTCAGAAACAGACGTATTGATATTCTGTAATACGGATTTCAGGTGAAGAGTTTGGCCTGGATGGAGTCCAGTACAAAGTAAAGTCAGTAAATAAAAGAAGTTTAAAGAAAAGTAACTCTATTAATTAAACTTGTTTGGGATCCGTGAATTAGAATTTCATGTATTTTTTTTCTTTAATCACATAATAAGGCCCACGAAACTGCGAGAATTCAGGCAGAAATCAGAGGGTATTAAGTCAGTCTTCACGGAGCTCCTGGGCACAAAGCCTAACAATGTTCTGCTACAGAGAGAACAGTAGAAAAGTTAGATGGTTGGGCTTCCTATGCCATTTTCAGTGAAATGTGAAGATGTGAAGCAGGAAATGAAACTAATTAAAGGAAGATTATTTTCAAGTGCTAGATGGGATGGTGGGAGTCATCTGCCTTCCTATCTGGTCAGTTAGTCAGCTTCTGGATTAAAAAATGAAGGCAAAACCATTTGCTCTGCACCTGGATTCTATTTAACTTAGGTCCTCTGAGTGAAGCACTACTACAAGTCAACAAGAAAGGTAAGATGATACAGGTTTGCATGGTTTACTGTGGTGACATTTTTCAGGACAAAGTATAAAGAAACGATGTATTAATCTCATGGGAATGGGGTAGGAGGATTCATTAGGGAGATGCCAAGGAACCAGCATGTGTGCCCTTACCAGGCAAGAGCAGGCCTTAAGAGTCTGTCATCTATCAGAATGCGAAAAGCTGCTCCAGTCCTTTGAATGATTTCAGGACATTAATACTCCTTGTGATAGAGACAAGTCTGGAGAAGGTTTGCTGGAGTTTTTAATGATGAAGCTGAGCAGACTTGGATCCTTTGTCCAAATGGTTTGTGTTATAAGCCCTGACTTCAGAAGAAATTCATGTTGTAAAAGGACACTATGCACAAAACTGTACTTATGCTGTAGTACAGTCTGTAATTACTTCTCAGGACAAAATTGTGATAGAACTGTGCTTCACAATTAAATTGTTGCTCTGAAGCCTTCATGCATTTTCTGGGACATAACTTAAAATTATTGCTTTTACTCACTTTAATGAATAGACAGTGTGAGAATATAGTTCTGGAATTCTTAAGAGCGGTATTGCTGTTACCTCATCTTGGTGGAAGGGAGGAGCTAGGCAGCACGTGAGTGTGCGAAGCATTTGTTCCACCTCGGGATTTGTTCTGCTACTGTCACTTTTTAGTTCAGTTTCTTTGTCACTTGGGATTTCCCTGTTGTTACACATTCTCCTCCATGTGAGACAGGGATTTTGTTTGTTTTCTATCAAGAGTTTTTGTTTAGAATCCCCACAGTCAAAGGCTTGCAACTAAAATCAGAGGCCTGGATTTCTGCACTGAGACAGATACAGCCTAAGGATCTCAATGAAAACAAAACAGGGCAAAAAATGTATGAAAAGCTTTGCTTCCTTGCTGGATGCACTTTCTGCTTTCAGGAAGACTACAGCCAGTCTCTCAAGAAGTGCTTCTATATCCAGGAGAATAGATGTTAATAGCATAATAGTTCTTTACTCACATGTACTTCTGATGGAGTCAGTCTCGTCGACCCATGCCAGACACTTGAGAGGTTAAAAAAATAATTCAAAGAAATTTGGAATATATTTGCTAACAGGAAGGCAACCCAGATCAGATTACTAGTTTGGTTTTGTAAAAATGTTGAAATGGTGGCTGAGTCTTCATTACTCAGATTGTATTCTTGAAAGTGTTTCCTGTTCAGATTTAAAATGATGTCCCTCTTCAGTTGAGAGATCTGAAGCTCCACATTTTATATGGCATGTTCAAGATAAGTAGAAGGAATTTTAGACATGTCTCTTTATGACAAAGGACCTGTGAAATGACTTTAAAGATGTAACTTCGTGTGTACCTTATGATACACTTGTGAGTCCTATTTTTAAGTCTGTACACTTTACAGTCTTGGTAATGTGTTCAGATCCAGTATGCAAACCTTCTGAATAAAGAGAAGTCAACCTAGGCACACCTGGTATTGCAGGACATGGTTTGATTAAATTTTAGTGGAAAGCTTTTACATATTTCAGAGGTGTTCCATAGTCACATAAACTTACAGCTTATCCTAAAAGTCCAGTTGACTTCATAACCACAACAGAAGTAAGAAAGTAGACTGTAATTTTTTATGATGTATGTTTTGTATTTTTGGAAAATCCAATGTCTTTTCAAGAACTGGATCACGTGGCAATGTTTTATAATATACACATTTTTAAATTATTGCATGTTTTTTTATTTATAATTGATTGTACTGCTTATATAGAGACTTGGCATTTGCTGATGCTATCATTTTTATTTACCTGAAACAGATTGTGATGCTTTATTTTATGATGATATTGTGAAACATCTGAAAATAAAGGGTGATAAGATGCTTTTCAACATTAATTCCTGTATATTTCCTCAACTGTAGGGCCAATTGACTGTTCCTTTTCCTTAAAATACATCTTAAAAGTTAATTGGTAAACATGACAAGGTCACATGTTTCACTAATGTCAGGGAGGAGAGAAAAGCCCTCTCTTGTGAAGTGCTGGAACAGCATTCGTGGTAGAAGTCATCAGTACATATCCATACAGTGCCAACATGCAATACATGTTTAAACTTAGTTTTCAGTTGTTTATATGTGTTGAATAATGAAAAGTGCTTCCATCTTCTTTTCTTGGATAATTTCAAGAATGCTGAAGCTAAGGAATGAGGAAGAAAAGGCTTTTACCCACATTGGATGAATGGCACGTTCTGTTTAAAGACTGGGACGTAGAAAATATATTTACTTCTGTATGACTCCACGATAATCTTCCAGGTAAAGTAATTTCTCAATCTTTATGTCAATGAATAATGTTATGTATGGTGTGAACTACAGTATGGTTGCCTGAACAAAAAAATTCCTTGTGCAAACAAGGGATGTGCCCATTTTAAATGTGATACTATCATTATGATTCTTGAATAACTTGGTAGACATTGTAAAGATTGTTTTAATACATCGGTATAGCTGTCTTGTAGTGACAATTGTGACTATTCCTCAGAGTCATTACAAAACAAAAATATGTATTTTAAACTAAAAAACAATGTGGTATTACAGCACCTACTCTTCTGAAAAGGAGAAGTAATATGCACTAGATTGTGTATAATTTTTCTTTTTAAATTGCAAGGTTTTGGTGAAGAAAATCTTAGGTAAGTTGCTTGTAGTAAGCTGTAGTCAAGAAATCATAACCATTTGAGAAGTATCATACTTATTATTTGTGTATCCACAGTACTGATGAGTTCTTCCAGTAGACCAGAGCAAACGTAGAGACCAGTCTGAAGTGCTGAGCAGAAGGAAATCTAAAAATTGGCAAATCCTGAAACAACTGAAAGAAGTTCTAGGTGTTTCCCTTGATGTGATCAGACAATAGGTCTAAACTGAGGCTACCATGTTTTTAACTGCTGCTAACTTTCATAAGCCTCATTTGTAGCAGATTACAGCAATGAGCAGTTGACCTGCTTTGATCTGTAATGTAAAGTCAGTAACTTTCATGGAGTCACAGAGTTGTACAAGTTGGAAGGGACCTCCAGAGTCATTGAATGTAACACTCCTGCTAAAGCAGCTTCCCTACAGCTGATTGCACAGGTCAGCGTCCAGGCAAGGAGACTGCACAGCCTTGTAGAATTAGTCTAGGTGTCATTGATATGTAGACTGTAGCTGTAAAATGCATCATTTGATTTTTCAGTGTTCCAGAAACTTAGGCAGTAAGAGGAAAAAAAATTAGTATACTGTGAAATGAAGAGCTTAAAGCAGTTTTGGTCTTTGTGGCAGAAACTCAATCCATTGTTTAGTTCTTATGTAAGTAGGCACTAAAAAGAAAAACCTACTGATGGCCTCTCTGACCCTTCTGTGAAGACTTGTCCAAACCTGTTGCATTCATGGAATCCCACTGTGCAATAGACAGCCAGTGGTCTGTTTTTTTCTGTAGTACACCTCGTTAGAACAGCTCATCTAAGTAAAGTCTGCTAATTAAAGCTTTCCTGAATCTCTTGTTTTAATCAAATTTAAAAGCCAAGTCTCTTTATCCCACAACATGAAGTATCTGTGTTTAATGCTTAGTATTCAGTAGTTGTGAACTGGAGCCAGAGGGAAAATTTCATATCATTTAGAACAGCAAAGCATGTATACAAGCATGTTTCTGCTTCTTTGTTACATCTGAAGAAAGATTACACGTTTTCTTACAGGGTGTATGTGATTTTCTCTGTTCTTGGATGAGAAAGACTGAATGTTGTGAAACGTTCTTCTGGCAGAGCTGAAGGTCTGACTTTCAGTCAAAGCACTATTGTTTGAAGGATATACAATATACCAGGCATTGATTTTTACAGATAATTATTTATCCTTTGAAAAATAAAGGTTAATTTTTACTTTTCATTGGTAATTTAGCTATGTTTAGCGTGTCTTTGTGAGCAACAGTTCCTGACTGGGGGAAAAAAATATCTGTGTGGTGTTTTATGAGTTATGAAGAAATTTGAAGAGCATCATCCTTAAAACTAATGTTTGAACTTAAGCTACAAGCTAGCTAATCTTTCACAAACTTTGTGTATATCTCCATATATTGTTGTGTGTTCTTCAGGATGACCAGGCATTTGCTCAGAGTCTGCTGCAGATTGAGGATATTACTGTGTAGTGAATTATTTTCAGGGAACGTTTAACATTAAGGAAAGACAAAATTGTCCTGTGCTCTGTGTGTGTGTTTTGACCTGCTGTGGAAACTGCATGAGTATTATTGTGTAAACTGAGTACAGTGTGACCAAAGGGATCCTTTGCATTAAGATTATATTAAGGTACTGGACAGACTGTCAAATTTTGAAATTGGACTACTCAAAAACATATTTTTAAGTTGTGCTTTTGAGGAGAAATGCCCTTCTAAATGCTCTACAGTTAATCAGCAGAAAAGATTCTAGTAAGTCTCTAAAAAGTGGTTAAGGGAAGGCAGTATTATGGGAAAAGATGCCAGGTTCCTGTCTAAGATGTTGCTGATGAGGTAGAATTTTAGAACAGTCCTGAATTGTTGCTTGGTAAATTTGGAAGCAGCTTGTGGTGCAAGTGTCAAAGCCAGGCTTGAAAGAAAACAGTCCCGGAAGAGAATCAGAAACATGAGACTGAAGAGGTTCTAAGAAAACCAAAAGTAAACATTCATGTAAAATAAATCAGTTTTTCTGGCATACTACCTTCACTAAAGTCACAACAAAATACTAGCAGAAATTCCTATCAAAGAACACCTTAGAATAGTTTGTGCAATAGAGTGGCAGAGGAGCAAACAGCATCAACATTCATTGAGGTGAAATTAATAATTGTAACCCCAGTTTCTGATTCAGGACAGTACTGGTCACTTCTAGAAACTGAGATATTTATTTATCCTAGTAATGAACAAATATTCTGACTTTGTTCTTGCCAGAATGTACAAACAGGACTCCTTGACACAAACCTCTGCCCAGTTATGACTTAGGCATTAACTTTTCAAACAGACCAATAACGTGCAGTCACTGAAGAAGGTTTATGGATATTGTTTACTTGTTTTTTTAGTAATCTATGGAAAGAAGTCCACGCTATGAAGTTTTTTGTTTAAGATCCAAATGTAGTGAATTGAACTGTTGTGCTTGGGACAGTTATTCATCACCAGTGCCTGGTGCAGTTATTCATGCAGAGCAGGCATGATTTTACCTTTACATTTTTCCAGAAAAGAATATCAAAATAAATCTGCAATTTGGACTGAAATAAAACTGTAATTCCACATCTGCAAAAAGAAGAGATGCAAAGGCAGTAGAAAATGAAAAAAGTCTTGTTTAGTAAGTTTAGAAATATTTATTTCCTTTTAGAATCTGACTGGAAAATTCATAATTGTGTGATAATGTGTGCTATTTCATGCTCAACTATGGGAAAAGTTTTGGAAAATCATAACATTAGAAGTTCAGAAATGAAAAATTCAGAAAGATTGCAACCATGTGTTGTAATTAAGCTGGTTGTGGATTGAAGAAAGTGGTGTCAGTAATATACTATGAGCTGCAGCAGTGTCAGCAATCAGAGAAGCCATAATTGCAGCCAGATTTCATTTGTTTTTAAAGCACAAACATCTTAGGACCAATATCAAATACAAATAACAAACTTATCATATTTAGGTTACGGGCTTTTAATGTGTTTTTAGAACACTGTGTATTCCAGGAAGTGTATTAAAATACATTCAGAGTTGCTATCTGTAAAAGGTAAGGTACACCTAAAAGGAGAACCAGTAAATGCTTGTGACGGATACCTTGGCATGTTGGAAGTCGTGTAGTTAAAGAATTCTTTTCATACGTATTTTGAAATTGAAAGGGTAATGAACGTTTCATGGAACTTGCTTACCGTAAAATGAATTACAGTGGAACGCTTACCAGGAAGTTGTATCTGATGCAAGTTAATTAGTAATTTTTTTTATAGAGAATGATGCTATAAAGCAAGCTCAAAATCCATGATCTTTGACTTGCTGTGGTCAACAGCAGTAACAAAAACTTCATTCTGCTGCTAGCAACATCTGTGAGAAGCCGTCATTACCACACTTGGCAACAGGATGTCCGTTCTTAAAGTCTTATTTTTCATTCTATTGGTGGCTGGTGATTCTCTGAGTCAAGAACGTAAGAAATACATTTTTGCTTTATAGTTTGCTAGAATAGTAATATTTCTACTGAATAGTTGGCTAACCTTTAGAGGCACTCCTGAAGTATTGCAAGCCCAGTGGCGTTGCTTTTGAGTATGTTCTCTTAACTGTTTAGGTAGAGAGAGTTTTTAATTATGGAAAAGCAATGAAGTATTAAGATGTTTGTGTGTTAACTGCTTGTGTGTGTTTGTTAGGAAGCGTTTCATAGATTTTTGAATTCAGTACTGCCAAGAGTTTTGGACTGTTTAAGCCAACCTGTCAGATGGGATGTATTTTAATCAAGTAAGACAGTTTTCTTTTCAGTTGGAAGAAATACTCAGTATGTTGGTTTTAAAAAGTTGTACATCCTTTTTATGGAAAATGAACTTTGAATTTTTTTGAGATTAACATGGAGAAAATGATCAGTAATTAAGAGCCAGAGTGCATTGAAAAAAATGTTTTAAAGGAAGACCTAACTGTAACAGAATCAGAAATACTTGCATATATATATAGGATTGGGAGGATTGTTTTATGTATAGGATTGGGAAGATTGTTTTATGGGAGGATTTCCTGTAAATGTTTGTTCTTAACCGCTTTAAAAATAAAAGATATTGTTATACTGGGAATGACTCAGCAGGGTGTTCTTCAATGAAATTGAATATTATGGTCTTAATTCAAACTTTAAAAATTTATCTTACGGTGAAAAGTTATGCAAATAATATTCAGCTGTATTGGTTGTTGGGTTGGTTGGTTGTTTGTTTTTTTCTGAATTTCATAACGGTGCTTAGCCTTGCAAGTCTTTCAGTTCTAATTATCTTCCTCACCTTTTCTAGTGGTGCCTTCTAGTTAATCTTTTAGCTGTACATTCCATGTAAAGATTTCAGGTGTGTGTCCCTAAATGCTTTACTGCAGGCAGGAATTATGTTAGACTTTGTAAGCTTTGTACCAGAAACTCTGGTTCAGCTTGCAGCTTGTTGGTGTGAATGATGAGTACAGCGTTCAGGCCAAATCCTGTGTAGGAAAGAAAAAGAGATAGCAAAAAATGTGTAGGGTTGTGTAGGGCTGAAATGTCAAATGTGATAACTTCTGAGGTTTGACAGAGGTTTCCTGGTGAGGTGATTATTTTTGGGCATCCATGTGCTTTTGTAGTACTGTAAGCAGTTGACTTCTGGATCATAATTTACAACCCACAATGCATATGCAGTAAAAGAGTGGGAGGAGAAACCATATTAATGCAAAATAAATCCTTTATTATACTAAAATGAGGAAGAATAATCTAAAAGCAAACCACACAAAAAGGTTTTGCTTGAGTTTATAGTTTGAGAATTTGAGTCCCAAATGTATTTAATGATTTCTTGTCTTTGGCAATGATCCAGAGATTATACACACTATAATTTATCTATAGTCATATTTAAATAATGTGATAAAAATTATAATCATATCAGCCATACACTTTGGCTGTCTGGAAGGTTGTTGTAAACTGAAAATAATTTGAGCTGGTAAGCCTTAATTTCTCCAGTCATTACAGAAGTTTTAAGGGACAAGTCACTAGAAATTATGATCCAGTATTTTTTGCAGAGTATATCATATGAAGCTTAAATTTCTGATGTAATTGGAAATACGCATTGGTAACAGTATGCTACCATACAAAAGTCTTAAGTTGTTTTTCTTTATTATTGTTGTTGTGTTTAATTTGCAGCCAACTGCACTGCAGTTGAGGACTTTGGTGACTGCAGTGGTGATAGTGACGGCTTCTGTCCTGCCAAAGTTCCTTGTCAATGTAAAAATGAAAAACCTTTTTGCAGGTAGGTTGTAGTGGTCTTTTTCATGTAAATGTGCTTGTGGAAGATATTGTTAATGAAGAACAAAATTTAGACCCAACATTGTGCTCTGTGAAAATGAGTATAGATTTTCATTCACAATCTGCATGAAATCACAACTGCTGCAAGCATCACAACTGAGGTCTGAATGTAAAGTTTAATTTTTTTTACAATATGTAATTAATCATTTATATAATTATTATAAACCTCAATTTCCCCACAAATTGCTATTGTCTCAAATATTGTGCTTTAGAACTGAAATATGTAATAACAAGTTTTTTCCTCAGATTAATCAAAATGAAAGCTTTTAGAAAATCATATGTATAAACATTTTATTCTCCAAGATGTGCTTGCTTTTTTCCTTTTTAAACAAAAAATCACCATGCAAATAGAAAACATGGCACTTCCGGTTGTTTTTTTATCATATAATTTGACAGTTAAACTTGTAGGAAGTCAGCAAGAAAATAACTGGTCAGAATTAAGAAGCTCATCTAATTAATTAGTTAACTCAAAGAAATAACTTCTCTGTGACCCAGTCATCATGTTGTTGTTTATTTATGTGACCTCCTGTTTTAGCCAATATATCAGATGAGATAACTGAACATACTGCCTAAATTTTACTGCAACTCCAGCAAATAAAATGCTACTTGAAACTATAAATGTACATATTTTAAATCATATCCAGCTCAATACAGGCATTGCATATTAACTGAGGTAAGATATCTGTATATCTGTTCTGGAGATAGTGAAGGTTTCATGTGCTTATGGATGATGAAAAGATCTTTGACCAGAATTGCCCTGTGATTACTAGCATTACATTCTCTTTTCTCGGCAAAGCTAATTATATTATCTTGGAATTGCTGCAGTGCCAACTTGGATATGCAGTTCTTGGTTGAGCCTGACCCTGTATTTGCATCATATCCAGAATAAGATGGGTAGCCATTCTCAGATCAGAAACATCTTTAGAGGAACTGAAAAAATACTGAATCTCTGGCTTCCTGCAGTGTCCAATAGTGAATAATTCTACAGTAAGATATTTTTTCCTTTTTTTGTATTAATTACATTTTAGCAACATGATTTTAAATGTTTTTATTTGCAGATGTGATTACTACAGAGAGGGCTGGATGGAGTATTGGTACATGGGCCCTAAATGTAACCAGCTTTGGAACACACTGGATTTAATACTAGTATCTGTTCTTCCTGCAGTAGCCCTGGTTTTCTTAGTTGTTGTAATATTTCAGTGTGTCTACTGCTGTAAAGGTAAAAAAGCTGGGTAAGTTACTCTGGATACAGTTAAAAAAGGTTTTTATAATCAAAACTAAAATAAAGCAAAAGTAGCCTGGTATTCTGATTAATTTGTAACCTCTTGATATTTAAATCAATAAGTTTACCATATAGCATCCTTTACGAAAGTATTCCTTGCACAATTTAATCCTAAATCAAGCATCTTAAGTTATTCATATTTTACCACACTATTCACAACTTCATTCGAAGTCGTTGTCTCTCTTCTTTACACAGGCTTTAAATATTAATCAGTGTATTTACTACTTCTAACTCAAGACTACCAAATCTTTCTTGCTGATGTGTTCATTGTGAAGGATTGGCTTGCTTTCCTCATGTTCGAAAACAAAAAGGGAAATCAGACTGCTAAACACTGACAAGTGTTGCAGGTTAAACACCAACCACTGGCAATTTGAGCTTTCCTTTGCTTTCAACACTTTCTTTGTTTACATTGGAGTCTCTCCCAATTCCATGCTAAATATTTCATTTTTTCCATCTTTCCTTGTGTCCTGTTAGCATGTACTCCTGGTTTGTCCAGTGTTATTGAAGAACTGCAGTATTACATAGCTTGCAAGTATCATTGCCCTAATAAATCTCAGTTGATGGTACAGTTTGTGAACAAATCTGCAGCCCAAAAAGATTCATTATGACCCACCTCAATTTGTGTTCTTCCTGCCCACCAGGAAGCAGACAAATTCTCCGTACCATGAAGTACACCACAACCCTACATTTAGTCACGAACTGTCTGGTAACCTGGGAGCTGCTCAGCAGTCACCAAGGGTAAGAGATGTTGCATGCTGTGCATCACATGTTCCTCTTTCTAGTGGAAATTGAACGTGACCTTGTGGTTCAACAGAGTGGTGTATGAATAGCATGAAGCTGTCATCTTGTAAAACTAAAGATAACCTCAGTTTAAGATCTTAGTTTTATTTGTCCAGTATTTGATTTCCAAGGTCATCTAAATGCATGAACCTCTTCATCAAACATGAAATATATTTAGCTTGCATAGGAGAAAACAAAGAACTTGGTGTTATTTTGAAACTATATCCAAATAAAAGGTTTTTTTTAGGCCAGTTAGAATATCAGTGTTAAAAAGAGAAAAATCTTGGATATGAGCTCAAGCCACATATTCTGGCCTCTTTCCTTGTTTCATCACTGTTCTCTTCTAGCTGCCAGGTGAGCTGCTTTCAGCCTGATCAGCTCAGAAACTCAATCACTGCATGCTATTACTGGTATAATGCCAGTGCAAGAAAAAGGCAGTAGTGTGCAGCCAGAGAGGAAGAAATTGTTACTGTCAGATTTGAACCCATTAAAGCTGCTTGATGGGCTACACCTACAGTTTCATTTGTGTGCTAGCTACTCTTCACCAGAGGAAAGACTGGCTGAACATGTAGTACATCTGGAATTTCAGAGTCATCAGTATTGATTTCTGTATGAGAAGAGACAGTGTAAGAAATGACTGTTCTCTGTTTTAATGTTGAACTAAGCAGTGTCAAATGAAACTAGGCAGAAGTTTTAAGCAAAAAATAGTGCTTTTTCAAAAATTAAGTAGTCCAGCAATGTTCTTTGAATGTGGATCCATGAAGGACCAGGTGTTGCCTTCTGGACTAGGGTAACTGCTGTGACAGGTTTCTCTTAGGCAAGGTGTACTTTACAACAGAGGTTCTCACTTGAACTGGTGGTTAGCACAAGAGGAGGTGGATAAATACTTCTCAAAATCAGAACAGGAAGTGTGAAATAAAAAGAAAGATGAATGGGAGTTACGTTTTTGTGTCTTTGTATTCACTTCCTCATTCCGTATTTGAAGTGACTGTTTAAAGAGTGTATACTGTCTGAGGACACTTTATAAGCCATGGAGAAAAGAAAGAAAAGAACGTAGTCAGATGTATTATTTCCTGTTAAATATGTTTGTGAAGTATTAGTACCTTGGAAATTGAGTATATTAATGGAGAAAAAAAGATGGTATGAGACACCTACACCAGCAGGTGGTGCTGTTTAATTTGTAATTAATTCTGAATATCATGTAAATAATGCTATAGTTTTTAAGGCAGGAATTAGACCAAATTTTGCATGTCTAGTTGAGGAAAGAAATCTTACTGTAAAATCCATTTTACAGTATGGATGATGGCTGCAGTATGTCCTACTTCATCGTTATCCAGACAGTACATTGAAGCCCAGAAACAGATGATTCTGCCTGCCTCATCTCCCTGTTAGATGTGATGGTCATGAATATGTGAGCTGCCAACGTGGCAGCCTTGTGCATGTATTATTCTGTAAACTGGGGAACCTTAACCAAAACTGCCTGAGGGAGGCGAGAGAGAAAACTGTGATCTGTATCTGTGTCTTAGTTTCAACTGGGACAGGGTTGTTTTCTGCAGAGTCTGGTATGATAGCTCCAGCGCTTGCTCTTGCAAGCAGTCTTCCCTGAATACTGCTCCTCTCCTGAGGGTGCTGCATTTTGAAAATTGCCTCAGGTCATCAGGTTTTTTTTAAACAAAGATACCTTTAGAAACAAATATGATGTATTAGTTTTAAGATGAACAGACTTCTTGTTTGTTCATGTTTTCATTCGTTCTCTAGAAATATGTCTGGGAAGACAGAAGCCGACTTAAGCAGCAGTATTCATTGGCCTTTTGTTATCAATCACTGTATTTAGTTTAATTTTAGACTTGGTGTTGTATAAATCTGAGGTGAATCCACTGTTCTTTGTGGAGTGGCGTCTTCTTGAAATGTTTAATCATAAGAAACTCAAGAGAACTCACTGGACTCGATAAGACCCTTAATATCTAGTTTACCTTAATTGTGCAGACTTACCTGGGTACTTCTCTGTTATGCCTGAGGCATACATTTTCCACATTACTCAAATACTGAAAGGTCTTCCTTCTAGTGAATCTTTTAGATAAATTGAATTTATATATGTTAAACCATGTCTGTACTGTTTTTATTATATATTTTGTTACCAATAAAGAAGTCATCCTATACATTTTCCACCAAAGACAACTGTGAGTGCACTGTGCCTAGTGAACTATGTTTGTAATTTGTTGTTTTGCTGTGTGCAACCCTCATGTATAGGTCACCTGGACTGGACAACTGCCGAAAGCTGTACTGAGAAGACAAGATTTTGAAGATCTCCCAGGCCCAAGTCACTTAGATAATTCTAGGTATGCTGCTATTTTTCCATCTTTTCTTTATTTTTCTTTATTTATTTTCACTTGATCCTTAGGTTTGAAAACCAATCATTTCTGTGTAGTCATTTCTGTCATGCTAGTGCCATGACAGAGATCCAGTAAATGCCGAAGCATTGGACTAAGTAACTTGCATGCATTATTTTGTGGCTTGAATGTGATAGAAAAGGTTGTAAGTATGACCTGGCAGACAGGACTAAACTTGTCAGCTTTCTCTGACTTCAAAATACGTTATTATGTAATGTTTTTGAAGTGTGTTGATGCAGTCTGCTTTCCTAATATAATACTAAAATGAAAAAGTTGGTGCTAATTTCTTTCTGCAGCTAAATTCTAGAGTACTGGTTTATCCAAATATGCAATTATACCAAGGCTATGGTATGTTTTTAGTCTATAAAAATTTTAATTATTTTGTTGGAAACATTTTCCTTAGTTTTGCTTTCTTACTTTTATCTTCGTCACTAACACCTGCCCACTGTTGCATATACTCCAGCAGTTTTTGCAGAGAACATGTTTCCCATGAGGCAAATAAACGATAGCAGAACATTTTCCTCATAAGCAGCAGGGTCCTACTGCAGTCTGGAGCTGTCTAATACTTTGGTCCATTAAGAAGGCCTGATTTTTATTATTTTTTTTTTTTAATATGAATGTGGAAAATGTTGATGGTCAACTTATCATGATGTATTATTTTAAAAAAAATCCCAAATTAATGTCTTTAAATTCACTTTTGTAGGATGAGTGGTCTTTTGCAGTAAAAGGAATTTAAAAGACAGAACAATTTGCTGTTTTACTGCAAAAACGTCGACATCATGTATGCAGTTAACAGGCTTTATTATTTTTATTTATTATTTAAACAAGTACTCTAATTTACATCATATACTTTCTTTACAATGTCTTTTTTCTTTTGCATAGCCCCAGGTATGCTCAGCCACTGAGGAGACCAGACTATGTTTCCAGCCAGCAACCTCAGCAATTCGACAGCTTTGTCTATCCAGGCAGCAATAGACCTTATGGAGGTTATGCAGAGGACAGGCAGTATTCGGTATGTATGTAAACCACACCTTGTAGAACAGTCTGTCTTGGTGCTGAGAGCAATTTATTGTAACTCAGATTGATCAAATTTGTGTTGCTGAATAAGGATAGGAGTTAATAGAAGGCCTGAAAGTTCCTGTACAGGTATTCTCTTCAGGGTTATTACATACCTGCCAATTCCGTTCTAAACTATGTAGATTTTACAGCAGGATAGAATAGAGCAGTTTGCTTGGAAGAAGGGGCCTTTAAAGATCATGCCTGCTGAAATGTTTCTACATATTTCAAAGCTTGTTTCAGTTTGTGTATGCAAAGTTTAATAGATTGTTTGCATAAAAATACCAATAAAATATTCTAATAAAAGAAATACATAAATGTAGGTTAGTTACCAAATATTTTAATAGCAAGTACACTAGGAAGTGTATGTCATGCTAACAGTTGAATTCTAATCTCTTTGCAGAGATACTAATACCCCTTGATCTGAAGTATCTCAGAATGCTGCATGATCAATGAATGAGCAATCCAAACGTTGAGAGATCAGTAAGGCCTTGTGTACCTGGATGCAGAAAAAATAGTAACTCGTAGAGAGCACTAAAAGTCATTCGAAAAGAAGTATAGAAGATAATTATAAAACAAAACATAATTACAAAACTGTTATCCAATTTATTTACTGTATAATTTATGAAAGCTTATCTTTTTCTGGATACCTGATTTAACAGTTATTACATACTTAAATTGTTGCACATCTATCTGGACAGAGATTTTTGTGATTAACTATGTTGTGTGCCTGACTGACAAGTGCCTGTTAGAAACAGCTGCCTTTTCTCAGAGGAAACTCATAGGAAAGAAGAAAGTCTTCCCAAAAATCCAGTATAAGAGCTGATGAATACACGTGCTAATTATCATTCTTCCTTCATTGCTGTGGATTTAAATCTATATTAAAAAAGAAAGGAGAAGCTGCATTTTTCCTTATTCCTCAGGAAGGCTTGTCAAAGACAACCTCTGCCAAGTACAGTTTTTCCATTTGGCTTTCCTGTTCATTTGTGATTTTTACTCCACTCTGTATCGCTCACAAGCTAGTAAGCAATGGTTCCTAATACAGTGTTTTTAAATAAGACCATGTATTTCTCTGACTGAAATGTTGGAGATTCTTTAGGGCATTTTAGTGTGTAGAATTTATTGTTCCCTGATAGGCATTTGGTTTTCTTTTTTTTTTTTTTTTTTTTTTCTCCACCAAAAGAACCTGTAGTTAAGAAAGAAAAGCAACAGATTTCATACAAGCTTGAATCTTTATTAAAATCTGCTCCAGAATCCCAAAGAATGAGGCAAAAGGGAAGGAAGGTTCTCTTGTCAGGTGTAGCCACCTAGTCCACTGATACTAGCAGCACTGAATGAGTGTAACCGAGGCACTTAGGTTCTCATTTTCTCAAGATGCATCAAATACTGAAATACTGGCTAATACAGCAGTGTGAGCCCTGCAGTCCCTTGTTTCTTTTTGTCTTAGTCACCTTGTTGAACCTAACAGCTCAGATTTTTTTCTTTAAAAATACAGTCTTTCTTTGTAACATCTTTTGTGAATAATGAAAATAAATGAAGCTATGGAAAATTGACTGCCTTGCCACTAACTAAGAAATAAAAGGTACTGGAGACCTGAATATTTTTCCTGTTTTCCAAAAAGGTTCAAGCGCGTTATTTTAACACTTATTCTAAACGAGCATTTTCTTTAATGTTAGGTGATGCATGAAACAGTATGACAAAATAGAATCCTAACGTTTTTAGAAACATGAAAATACTGGCATTTCTTACTTATAAATCAGAATTCCTCCTTATAACCAGCTTGATGGCTTAGCTGCATTATGGCACTTTCTATGCTCTCCACAACTGTCAGTTATTGGCTGAACTATAATGGCTTTCCTGTGCAAGTACCCTTGCAAAGGTAGAAAACACTTGTACTGGTAGAAAAGCCGGAAATCTATCCAGATCCCCTTCATTCTCCTTTCTTTTCCTCGAAAAAAATGTAGTGAATAGATTCAGCTCCATAAAAATGGAACTATGGCTCCAAAACTGGCAGTTTTTTCATAGCTCTGTAACTTAGCTTCTGTTGTGATGGCTAAATCTCCAGCCAAAATTTGTTGTTGTTTTTGCTTCGTTTTCTGGTAACAACTATCTAACATGGGTAAGTTTCACCAGTTTTACTACTGTAAGAAACCAGTAGGCATTTCAGTCTGGGCCTAAAAGATATTGAGGCAGATTTACAAATTGTCAAAGCACTGAGTGATAGGGTAATTTTTCATGAATAGCTGAAAATGCAGTCACCAAAATTCATTGAAAAGAATCCAGAGAGTTTCTGAATGTGGACTGCTTGTAAACCTGCATTATAATGTCCTCTGAGGCTCTGTGCAGCCAAGAACAACGCCTTTACATATCAGCATTAATAATTTTCTTGCTGATTAAAGCACAAATATAAAATATTCATACTTTTAACATCCACGCAAACAGCTTGAAGAAGCATCTTGTCTCACCGGAGGATGAAGCATGGAAGAATTACACTCCATTTACTTGTGTGACTGCCTGTCCTTTCTATAGGCATGTTCAGTGACAGTATCCTACTAATCATCCAGTTCCTTTTCAGTTTCTATCAGAAATACGTGAAAATATTTCTCTGTCATCATCTGAATCATAACAGAAACTGTGCTATTTAGATCCTAGGCTATCAGTTTAAGCTGTTAAGACCCGAGAAGGGTCAGGTACAAGCGTATCAGAATTTTGTCCATGAACTTTGTTTTCCATCATTTTTAGTCTCTAGTAGTGCCATAATTAAAAAACCTCTGGTTGTTACTGACCTCTGGCTCCATTCACCAATCTCTGGGTAACTGTAGAATTTGAGTGCTTGATTTCATATTCTACCTCTCCTTTGCAAAGGTATAGGAGAAAGAGATGAGGCAATCCTGTCAAAATATACTTGGTGCTGGCAAAAGAAGAGCTAACTGGAGGTACGTGTTCAGCTGCTTACATTAAAATGAATAAATTTTCACAGAGAATGAAGCTTTCCTGTTCAGACTTCCCTGCTCTTTGTTCTTCAGGCAGATGAAGAGTTGCAGGACATCAGCCAGAGGGATAGGCACTGCTCCTGTTTTACTTAACCATTCATGGTCAAATCATCAATGTTAACATCAAGCAGTGGTATGTGAAAGAAAAAAAGCGAAGAAAGTGCTTGAAATAGCTTGGTGTCATTTAAAGTAATCATTACAATTGTAAATACCTTTCTGGTTACATCATTATGCTTCTGCTGTCTCCCTCTTACCTGGAGAGCCAAGAAGCTCCACAGTTCTTTGGAATGCTTGTGTTCTTAGCTGAAGGGCAAAGGGCAAGTGTAGTCCTCTTATGGTTATTATGATGTGCTACTTCCCTGTCAGATACAGACACTTTTAATTGTTGTACAGAGTGGTGTTTTGGCTTTTGTACATTCTTTCTGATGCGGTGCTGTGACTTTTCATATTTAGATGCCTGTGATCACTGGTATCTTAGATTTGCTTTGGTGTGGTCGTGGTTTTCTTGCTATTCTTTTCATTCTGTGCTCCTGACCGGTGCTTTCTTTGTAATTGCATCCTCACTCTGCAGATAATGCATGTTGGTTCTGATTTTATATGTTATGTCACATTGTTAGCAGTAGCCTTGTTGCTTTTTGCTGCTTTTTGCTTTGAGCTTTTCCTTGGCATTTCTGAAGAGGGAACCCAGTACAGATTGGATTTTGTTGAGGAAAAAGAATAATTGTCTCTGTTTTTTTGATTGTATCACCTTGTAAGATGCTCTTGCTCACTCTTCCAATTACTCAGTTTTATGATTATCTTTTTAGTTATTTTTCCTCTCATTCATACATTCTGGACATCCCATTAGACTTTTAGGCAGCTGAATCCCACTGTCCATGAACAAAATTCGTGTCAAATGTAACTGTAAGGGCAAAACTTTATAAAACAAAGATTCATTTCTTTCAGTTACCTATGTTCTTATTACCTATTAAAAAAAAACAAAAACTCAACAGTTGATTATTATGTCCCTAATGGTGTTTGAAAGTTGACCAACTTTGTGCAAATATACGTTGAAAACAATTTGTGCGCCCATTTAGCAGGTTGGTTTCTAAATTAGCGGTGTTTGTACCCTTAGCTTTGAGCAGAATAAGCTTAGAAGAATTCGGGTGTACAACCCATTTGGGTCAGTCAGAGAACAGACCTGATAGGCTCCCCTGGACTTGAAAGTTCTTCTATGTTCTAAGCATATGCCATTTCTACCTGTTGAACAATTGGGTAACATGGAGACTAAGATATATTCATTCTAGCAAGATCCTACAAATACTGTAACAGTGTTCTGCTACATCTTGCAAAGCTAAGAAAACAAAACAAAACAAAACAAAACAAAAAAAAAAACCCTACCTAGATGGGAATTGAATCCACATTGCTTACTTTGAGGCAGAAGTCCACAACGTGGACACGGGTAAGTTTCCAAGTGATTCTAAATTTAGTTAAATGTGTACGTTTTATTTACATACAGAATGTAGGTTTTAGAGACCTAAGATTGGGATTTTAATTCTTATTTATTTTTTTGATACTTTGTTAAGAGGCAGATTTTGTGGGTTTTGCATGTATTTAATGTATGTACGTAGTGTTAATTATAAGTAGATTTCATCAGTTTAATGGTAAGCTGGACATGGTACATGCTAACGGTCTACACTACCTTAGGGATGCGTATTAATTCTCTTGAACAATTTTTTTGCTGTTCTTTGCTGGACTAGCCAGTACTTTGCTAAGTGTATTACTTGGGTGGAGATTAGCCTTCATGTGGGTGTACTGAAAATAATGAAAGAAGTGATGCTGTTCAGCATCACATTTGTGCCTGCAGTTTCTTCCAATTTACTAGCAGGTAGGGTTTTCTTCTGTTAGTTGTATTCTTGAAGTTGTAATATGGGCAAGAATGGATTTTAAATCCCCACACCTGTGGTTTTAGTATTGCACTGCTGTGTGATCCTGTAATGAAGTCCTCGGTGAGGTGCCTTATTGGTTGTGGATGAGGACAGTGATGCCGCACCAGGTCACTGGGATGCCCTTTTGACACTTTTTTGCGTCTGCCTGTGCTTTTGTATCTCTGAAATGTATATGCGAAGCTGGAAGTAACAGCCAACTGAGTTAGAAATTCGGCTGGCCTTCCCTTGTCTCAGGGGAGAACAAACGCTCCTTTGCACAGCTTGCTGCTGTGAGCGTCGGGAACAAGAAGTCGTGCTTTTTCCCCCGAACTGTGGTGTGGTAGGGCCGGGCCGTGACCCCGGGTCGCGGAGCCGCCGTCTCGTCTCGTCCCGTCCCGCAACGCCGGGCCCCGCGGTGCCGGATGCCGCCGCCGGCCGCGAGGGCGGCCGGCGACCGGCTCCGAGGCGGTTCCCCCGGCCCCAGCCTGGCGCTCGGCCCGCCCGGGCCCCCTCCCCGCTCCCCCCGCCGCGCACAGGCGCGCTCGGCGGCGCGGGCAGAGCGAGGGCAGCGGCCTCGGCGCGGCGGGTGCGCCTGCTCGGCGCGCGGGGCCCGCTGCGGCGCGCAGTGACGTGCGGCGGCCGCGGCGAGGCCGGCGGCGAGCGGGCGGCGGGGGGAGGGGAGCAGGCCGCGCGCGCTCGCGCCCCGCCGCCCGGCCCTGCCTGTGATTGGTGCAGGCCCGGCCCTGGCGGACCCGAATGCCAGGCCGCGGCGGCGGCGGCGGAGTCCTGCGGGCCGAGGCCTCCCCCCCCTCCCGCCGCCCGACACCCGGGCACAGCCTGCCGAGAGGCCGCCCGGCGTGGGGACCCGCACAGGTGAGCGGAGGCGGCGAGACCGGGGACGAAGGAGGCGGTCGGGCTGCGCCCGACGCCTGCGGGCGGGTCCGAAGCGCCGGCCAGGCGGGGCGGCTCGTTGTGCCGCGGGGCCCGGGCCGGGCGGGCGGGCGGTGCCCGCGGGCCGCTTGGCCCTTTGCGGGCGGCCAGAAAATGGCGGAAAACAAAATGTCGGCCGGCGGGGCGGGGAAGGCGGCGGCTCGACGGGACAGGGGTTATCCCCGCCTCCCCGGCCCGCCGCCGCCGCGGGACGGGAGCCCTGAGGCGGCCCGGGGCGCGGCCGCGGGGCTGCTGCGTCGAGGGTAGCCCACGGGCGGCTCCGGCCCCCGTGCTGCGGGCGGCGTCCCGCGGGGTCCTTTGTCTCGGCGGCTCCGCGCTCCCGCTCCGCCCTCGGCCGCCGCCGCGCAGCCCCGCTGCGGAGCGCGGGAACCGGGCGCTGCCCACCGCCGCTGCGGGCTCCCGGCGCCGCGTTCCCGACGCCCGGTGGCGCGCCCGGTCCGTGGGCACGCGCAGCGCTCCGCAGCCGCGCAGCCCCGGCCCTGCCCTGCCCTGCCCTGTTCCTCCCTCGGGCGGGAGCTGCCGCCGGGGATGCGCGTCTGTATCCCTAATCCGTGCGACTTGGGGCGCGGATCGGGCGGCGGGACGGTCTTTCGCCGTCTTTGTCATTTAAATGTCTCCGTGGATAGGTGATCGCAGTAAAGGGCTTTAAAACGGATACGTTAGCTGTAACTCCCGGTCTTTTTGTGCACACGGTTCGCGCTG